ACAACTAGTCGTCGTACTCGCGACTTGGCTCTCTCGTCACTGTTGACAATCACAACTCTGAAGTCGTAGATAATTTCGTCTATCTTGGAACCAGCGCAAAAACCACCAACAATGTCAGACTGGAAATCCAACGCAGGATAACTCTTGCCAACAGGTGCTACTTAAGACCTAGCAGGCAATTGAGATGCAAAGTCCTCTCTCGACGAACAAAAACCAAACTCTATAAATCACTCATAATTCCCGTCCTGCTATATGGTGCAGAGGCTTGGACGATGTCAACAACGGATGAGTCGACATTGCGAGTTTTCGAGAGAAAAGTTCTGCGAAAGATTTATGGTCCTTTGTGCGTTGGCCATTCACATTCGATGGAACGATGAGCTGTATGAGGTATATGGCGACATTGACATAGTTCAGCGAATTAAAAGACAGCGGCTATGTTGGCTAGGTTATGTTGTTCGAATGGACGAAAACACTCCAGCTCTGAAAGTATTCGGCGCAGTAACCGCCGGAAGAAGCAGAAGAAGAGGAAGACCACCACTCCGTTGGAAGAACCAGGTGGAGAAGGACCTGGCTTCGCTTTCAATATCCAATTGGCGCCACGTAGCGAAAAGAAGAAATGACTGGCGTGCTATTGTTAACTCGGCAATAACCAGGTAAGCGGTTTCTACACCAATTAAGAAGAAGAAGTTTGCATCAAATTGCAAAACGCTCCATGAAATATATATAAATTTCGTATTTTCTTGAATTTTCATTGTTTTACATTTTTATTAACGGCGACAAACCCCTCCGTTCACATATATTTCTGGTATAATTTCAATTTGGCCGTTCCAGTCGTTCCAATTGCTAACGTCAAAACCTGCCCAATCCAGTCAACTTTCAAAATTCAGTAGGCGAGCGGTTCTTACCATTCCAATGACAGGAGAGTTGGGTATCTCTTTATCTCTGCCAAGGTGCAGGCTCTATGTCTTTATGTTCTCTGCTCTGGTTACATTTTCCAATTTGTTTGTGGACAGAACCGCAGAGCGCATGATGTCCAACCATCCGTCGTCAAGGCGGATGGGAAATATGCAGCATATTCTCCAATTTTTTCTTCAAATCGACGTCGAGAAACAGACTGCCTACCTCGCAACGTCACAATCGACCACATCACAAGCGGCTACGCTGGCTAGGTCATATTGTCTGAATGTACGAAAACACTCCTGCTCTGAAAGTATTCGTCGCTGTAACCGCCGGGGGAAGCAGAGGAAGGCCTCCACTCCGTTGGAAGGCCCAGGTAGAGAAGGACCTGATTACGCTTGGAATATCACATTGGCGCCACGTAGCGAAAAGAAGAATCGACTGGCGCGCTGTTGTTAACTCGGCTATAGTCGCGTAAGCGGTGTCTACGCCGATTAAGAAGAAGAAGAATATGATATTGTTAATAATATCTGTTCAAGGGAATGAATGCTAGTTATATATTAAATCGGAAATGTAATTCGAATAATCCCAGCTTAGTTATATCAAACCGAAGTAGAAACCCCTTTTTGTAATAATTAAATACAATAAAAAAACTATTTAGTATATATTAAAAATACATTATTTTTATTTATTCAACAGTTTATTCAATGATAATTAGCATTACTAATTATATATAGTAGATCTTTGAAAGATTCGCTTTCACTTAACACTAATATATTAGGTTGTCAAAAAAGTCTTGCGGTATTTTCGATAGTTGGCGCTGAGAGCGCGTAGTTCTAGTTTTATTCGTCGCATCGGGTCATGCTATACCTTTTTGGAAAGCTCATTTCACGCGCTAACACGTGTTTTTAAGTCGTTCGTGAGTTATAGCGTCGCAAACATGGAGCAAAATAAAGAGAAAATACGGCATATTTTACAGTACTACTACGATAAAGGCAAAAATGCATCTCAAGCCGCCAATAAAATTTGTACAGTTTATGGACCCGATACAGTTTCCATTTCCATCGCACAACGATGGTTTCAACGTTTTCGTTCTGGTGTAGAGGTGGTCGTCGAAAATTGCGATAAAATCGCTGAATTGGTCGAAAGAGACCGGCATAGTAGCAGCCGTAGCATCGGTCAAGAGCTGGGCATGAGTCATCAAAAAAAATTTTATGAACAATTGAAAATTCAATAAAAATACCGAAAGACTTTTTTGACAACCTATTAATTAAACTTTTCGCTATTTTAGAATTTCTTTTCGACATAATACATATGTACGTGTTATTGTGCTTAGTAATATTGAACAACTATTAATATTATAAAATTAAGCATACCACATTTACAGAATTAAATCTGAAGTGAGTTCCTTTTCTTTCTTTCATTTATACATACATACACTGTAATACATACATATCTAATTTCTCTTTAAATTTTTTAAACGTATACGTATCTTTCCTATACATACATAAGTACATATGTGTATTTACAAATAATTTGAGTTCAAAAAAATATATTTATATCCATTACTGTCAAGAGCTAGATGTACAGTTACCAAGAGAAATAGGACTAAGGCATTTATTTTTAGAAAACATTTTATTTTAAGCCTGTTTATATTGCAATCAAATTAAATATGTTCTCATAAATTCATAGACGAAAATATTATAATTAAAACCAGGATCTAGAATTCTAATTTTTTAATGAGTGCACATATCGCAGCTTAAACAAGAAAGTTTTTTCACATTACGCCGGTTTTTTGTTCATTGTTTGATTTATATTTCGTTCTATCTGTGATTTATTATAGCCAGAAAATTAGACGGGCAGAAAATGGTCTTTTTTGAAATTACGAAATTATTAATATTTAAGGTTCATCTGACCATTTTTTATAATTTATTTTACAAATTAGTAATTAGAATAAAATTGATTGGCGGCTACGTATCTAGAATGTAGAACTGATTGAATTATATTAGTTAAATAATGTTTGAAATTCATTTTGAAAAATATGAATTAAGACAAGTAAGGTAAAGGTGTAACCGAAGATTTTATACTCTTGCAACTTGCAGGAATCAAAGCCGGCGACATTCCTTCAGGTGCTGGCATAAAGTTTTGCCAGTTTACACAATGTTGCGAAAGAATTCAGGATTCTTGTTCGATGAAAGCATTTAAAGATAACAATCAAATTTACTAAATTCTTGACTTATGCCCTTCAGCATTAACTTGAACTTAATTTTATAGCTATTTTCCTATTTTAAGTTTTAGTCCAAGGGTTCGCATTGCTACTGCGATCCGGTCTTACTTAGTTATGGCACTTTAAATATTCTCATTTAATGGACCTCACGTTTTGGCCAATGAACATATTAATATTAGAAATAGGTATATCTTAATTATTGCTTAATTTATCGCTTGTACAAATGGACGGACAAACAGCCAGTCATTCGGATTTCAACTCGACTCATCATCCTGATCATTTATATATATGTATATAACCTGATCTAGCACGATTATTTTTAGGTGATACAAACAACCGTTAGATGAACAAAAATATTATACTCTTGTAGCAACATTTTGCAAGAGTATGAAAATCGCCATGTTTATATAAGATAAATAAAAATATATAAAATTAGGGCAATAAAGACTTTAGTTTTAATTGAACATGTAAAAGTTTAAGATTATAAACCGCAAAAACAAAAATATTGGAATTCGTATTAGTAAACAATCAAACTAGATGTTAGAATTACACAGAAATTCAAGAAATCATCAAATTTTAGGATATTCTGACATTATATATACAATTTTACTAACCTGCATAGTTTTCGGAATGTTAACATAAATGATGTTGATAACAAAAACAATAAACTGATGAAAATACTTTTTTAGATAAATTGATAATATAATGGATTGTCTTCATATTGTGACTCAATCAGAAAATACACTACAGAGCCGTGATAATGATTCATAATGAAATAAATTATAATGGAATACCATAAATTTAATTCATAATACATCATTATAATATACTAAGAACTGGAACAAATTATTTTTAGTTAATATTACACTAAAATATTTGGAGTTATAATACAAAAGAATTTAATAAAAATATATAAGTATTACACATATTTACCCTAGATTACGATAAAAATATTTACATATATTTAATATAGACCTTTTAATACGGATGTACAAATTATAATATAGCCTTAGGCTGTTATCATAATAACAGAAACGAACCTAGAACATACCATTGAAGTTATGTATTAAATAATTCAGTCACACCCGTATATATATCAGTATTACACTTTCGCACCATTATTAATTTATTTCAATAACACTTTTTACATGTGATTGTTTTCCAAGAATTGATGATAATCTTTGTCGTATAAAATATCTGCTTCGGTAGCGTTTATCAAGAAATAGTTGTTATAATTTGATTCTTAGACCCATAATCGGCGATTCTGTAAATATTACAATATTACCATACTTAAATAATGCTCATATATATATACATATATACACACTACTGTTATTATAATTGTAATTAGAATTGGCTTAATTATTATCCGTGATAATACATTTTAAAATGTAAATGTAATGTAATTGTTTCGAATATTTTTTTTTGCATCTTATATTGTTAGTATTGAAAAAGAAAACAAAAAACAGCATGATATATAAATAAATAAGATAATAATTAAATAATATCAAAATTGTTTTTTCAAAACAATAGAAGGGTGGGAGAAATTTTTAAAATAATTTTTTAATATAACAGTTTTAGGCGTATAACTATTAATAAATGTTATGTTACGTCCTAAAGGATGAACTTACACAATATCTAAATATGAATATGAATTAAACATTTGTCAATACACTTTTTATCCTATTCTGAGAACGTCAATCATAAAATACTAAATATATATTAACATAAAAACAGTAATGTAATTAAAATGGTAAATATGAAAAATTAAAATGAAATGTTAAACGAATAACATTGTAAATAAAAAACACACAACATTTGCAACCAATATTACTATACTGCACAAATATTTTAACTTAACCCTTTGCACTCGAGAAGTGACTCTCACTCACCATGGGGTGTGCTGCCGCAACTCGAGAGGTGACTATCGCTCACCACTTGCTTTGCTGCGGTAACTCGATACGCGGGACTAACTGTTTTCGTTTACTTTCTTCGCGGGTTCTTACGCTCTTTCTATATACTCCTATGAAGTGTAGTAGTGTAGAAGTGTGTAGTGGGATAAGTCCGCAACCACGAAGCGGACAGCAATTTCACCATCAGTTCCAACCTGACAGTCATGACAGAGAGATTACTATATTGAAAGTTTTTGATCCCTAAAACATGAAACGTAATACCGAATTAAGATCAAGTGAAGATAAGTTTGATATCACGGTGCTTAACGAGGAAATTACGTCTCTACACAGAGAGCTTCAAAATACAGAGAATAACAGCAGTAGTGACGATAGTGATGAAGTGAGAGGTGTTAGAAGTCAAAATGACAAAGAGTAACGTTTGAAAAATTATCCTATTAAATATGTAGAAATGCATTTAATATTAAAATATAAAAGTTGTATGTGTTATTTAATGTATGTAATCATTTTAAGTTAGAGGTAAGAAATTACCCAAAATACACTACAAAACGCTTAAAGTTGCTGGTGCGCCACGCACGTGTATAAAACTTTATATCCCTGACCCTTACAGTGCTTCAAAGTAAAGAAAGAATGTAGTAAGATAATTTAGCTTTTTGCAATCAAAACAAAAAAATATTCATTTTACATGTTTTTATAAAACATTTCTTTCTTTTTTCAATTCTCATTATTTTTTTTAGGCATTAGTATCCGAAGCATTTATTATGTACAATATTGGATAATATATGTATTATATACATATGTATATATGATACATACACCTAATGTCCATGTTATAGTTCACCGTGCACAGAGCGCGAGAATCCAACTCAGGTTGAGCTTTGGTTTTACTGTATTTTGTAGATTAAATCTAAGAAAAATAGACACTTTTTTCTTTCTAATACGATAGTTTTCTATGGCTCAGCTGCTAGAAAATGGGCTTAAAAGTTGTGAGATTATCACAGTTTGGAAAACATCAAGTCGCCCTACCAAGATGGATGATAAGTTGGGTCAAAGTATGTAAGTAAAATTTTATTTATTTCAAAATATAAACAAACTTAACTGAAGAGAAACTAAAGTTTTTTTTATCTTTCTAAGGAATTTCTTAACAACTTTATTTTGATATTTTTAAAAAAAAGAAACCAAATTAGACAGTCATTTTGTAAATACGTATGTATAAAAAATCCAAGTAAGCTACAACAGGCAACAAATATTTTACTATGGAAACGCATAGCAGGTAATTGTCGGTTACATTGTGTTGTGTGTTCTTTACCTATAAATTGATGAAGCTGATGTTGACCTTGACCAAGCAACTAACAAACCCTCACCTCTACTCCGGTTTTTTTTTCTCTGCAACAAAACTGTTGCACTGTCGTCAGGAAATAATGAGTTTTTAATCGCCGTAAACAACAGCCTGCAATAAAAATTACGCGACATTATTTAATAACAAATATACATATCAGTTGTGGAATTTGATTAATTGCGATGGTGCAATGTGAATAGCTTACCTAGGCAAGACAGCCACCAAAGTCGATATAAGTATCACAAGCCAATGCACTAGAGAGCCTAAACAGCGAAATATTACCCAATAAGTAGAAGGTAGTCCAAAACAGTTGACGCAAGTTGCATTATAAATAACAGAAAAAGCATAGAAGGAACCAAGACTTATGGTAATAGAGAGCGCATGTAATACAGTCTACAAAAAACAAAAAATAACATAATTTAACAAATTTATTACAGTCACAATGCATTGAAATAAAATACCCAAGATCTAATTTCGAGTGCACCATGAACTAAATTCGTATATAAACAGGTAGCTGTTATGGTTGCTCCGAACTCCCATATGCCAACATCACTTTCAGCATAGGCGAATAAGGCAATGAAAAATACCACTAAACTTTGGTATAACGAATCGGATAGCACTATCCAGAAATCATGCGGTTTGTAAGCAAGACCCAATCGACCCTACAGTGAAAATAAACATTAACATAAGATAGTTTAAAATTGTGTGCTTGCGTACTAACATGTTTGTATAAATAACAATTTTGTAGTAAAAAATCCTCAGGCACGCGTTTGTCGTAGACACCAATGGCAAGCGGCGGCAAAGAAGTAAATATTAAATTATATAACATCAGATACATTTGATCCATCATAACAGAGCCAGAGAAGCCACAGTATAGTTGGTACCAAAATATTAAGAACACGAACGCCTTAGAAAAAATTAGGGTAAATATAAAAAAAATCAAAAACCTATAAAACATTTACAGCATTTTTGTAGAAAAAATAAAGTATCATGCGGGACAAACGATCGTAACACCAGTATCCATGAGCTAACAATAAAGGTTCTAAGTAGCGAAAGCGTGATAACGTAAAATCAGCGGCCATAACAGCTTGCATACCCTCTTGACCGGAAATACCAACGCCAACATCTGCCATCTTTACAAAGACATATGAACAATAAATGATTATATATAACTGAAGTTCACTAAACCTGTATCATTGACACATCATTCGCACCATCACCAATCGCCAAGGTACATAGACGCAACTCTTCTTTTACCACTTTAACAAGATATGCTTTCTGAAGAGGTGTCGAACGGCAACACAACACAGATGCACAGCTTTTAGCCAATTTCAGGAAAGGTCTTATGAGTTTCGATCTGCAAAATAATTTGCAGTGTAAAATATACTTTTTAATAATTTTGTGAAAAATGATTTGCTAAATTAATGATTTTATCATATTAAAAATAATTAAATAAACCCGTTTACTCTATATAAGTTTGGAGTTTGTTTAATCATAATCGTTTCTTATTTATACATTTACATGCATATATGTATACGAAAAATATCAGGATATGTTGAATTACAGATGTCTATTTGTCTGTCCTGGTAAGCGATAACTGAACTAAGAATTAAAATATCTTAGCATTATAGATGGGCAACACAACCAATTAGATTGCCACGCCCACAAAAAAGCACTAACCTATAAAATGCTATAACTAAAACAGAAATTAATTGTATCATTTTAGTAGGGAGGGGCATCTGGGGTTTAAATTATTTGAATTCGGACGAGCTTGCTGTAAATAAGTCGTTCCATCTCCTTATCATACTGTGTGAAAATGTACGTATTGAAGTTCAATATCTGACTGAAAGAACGTTATATTATCTTTTAAAGCAAAAATTGGTACGGAAGCACCCACTAATAGATCAAATTGTATTCGTCGGGGGACTACTCGGTCAATAATTTGGTGAATAACATTATCCTGTAATCTTTATGTGGTGCAACGACTACAACGTTTTTAACTTTGTGCTCATATTACTATTAGCAAATACTTACCGTAAATCCAGGATAAAAGTCAAAGTTTTGCCGTCGACAACCAAAGCACGTGTTTTCAGTCGGGTATGAGTATCATATATTGATTTGCTGGTATCCAAATCAGCTAAGTAGAAATTGATCGCACTTTCCGCAGCATCACGAGAGCGAGCCGTTAGACTGAACATAATATAAATTTGGATTGTATTTAAAGAAGCGCTATGAAATAATTTTACCTCATAATCAATAAAAAAAAAGTTTGAATTAAATACTTTCCATTGTTTTTTAGCATATTCTAGTCCACAATAAAAATTGGATTGTACGAGAGTACGTGAAATATTTAAACAATTTTGGTATAAATTAAAAATACTTCAAGCAGTGAGACAAAAAAAGGCTGAAGATGTTATTTTTACTGAAAAAACAAATACATAAGTTCTATAAAAGATCATATTTCATAGTGGGAGGAGCCTTCATAGCTTTTAAAGGCCTTACAAGAAGAAGAATTTTTAAAAACGCTTTTCACAAATATTTTCCACACTCTTTTTTGCATTTTTGAAACTTTTAGAATTGAATTTAACGCAACACGTCCAATACACACAAATACAACACAAATTCTTCGTTTTACACGACTATACAAATTAATTAAATTTTATAATAATAATAATAGAAATTATTGTATTTCTATAATTTATCTAAAATAATACGAAATTAAATTTATCACGAATTAAAGTGCTTTACTTTTTTATATTACGTTTCAATTTAATATTATTTCTTTTTGTTATGGACTGTACGTGTTAACAATACATGAAGTCACATCACATTCGAGTAGTTTATATTATGTACATATGTACTATATATAATAATAATAAGAAGATGAACATACCGCAATAACTCCATCTGTTGATTAAAAAGTTTTGCAGAATATGCAACATTTATTGCCGTTTCTGGCTTATCGCCAGTTAACACCCACACCGATATACCAGCCGAAATCAGAGCAGCTAACGTTTCCGGAACACCATCTTGAAGCCTATCTTCAATTCCTGTAGCACCTAGTAATGTCAAATTACATTCCAGCTTCGCAAAAGAATCACGAATGCGTCGTTCTCTATTCTCCAACGACATTTCAATTTCTTGGTGGTGTGCCCACCATTCTGTATATTCGGCGGAATTCAATGTTCGTTTTGCCATAACTAATATACGCAAACCGTCACGAGCGTAACGGTCCAACTGCTGTTGAGTTTTTTCTCGCATTACACCTATCACAAAACGTTTGGTAAACATTATTTTTTTTTTTTAGATCATCGAAAATCTAATACCTTCTGTCGTATTTAGAGCGCACGGTACTAATACGGGTATAATAGAGCTGTCAGCGCCCTTTGTGTAAAGCACTATTTCTTGTGTTCCTGTACGGCGCACAATAATTGACATGCACTTGCGGCTCGAATCAAATGGCAAAATTTTTAGAACTTCATACTCCACCATTCCAGAATTAGGAATGCTAACTAGTATATGATTTGGACTTCGATTGACTAAACAGCAGTCATAACTATAAGCAGCATTTACAAGCGCCAGTTCATCTGGACTCTCAGCTTCATACAACGGTCTACCGTTGGCCGTTTTAAATGATTGCTGAATTTTTGTTTGACTGACAAGTAAAATATTTTTAATATATTTTTAATATGTGTGCTACTTACTTACTTTAACTTGTTTGTAAATTTTTTTGCTTGAACTTTTACATTCAAGAATGAGGTAAGGCTACTTATTTTGGAGTTTATCACTGCTTTCGCTCGCCCTGTCGGTGATATGCTATTTGAAAACGACTTCATTTTCACAGGAGGTGAATCAGAAGTAGGTGTAGTCTCTGCTGAGCTGCTTATTGGGGATAACGATGGAATATGTGTATGCGTTGGCAAAACATAGGCAAGGTTTGGTGGTGGTGATGGTGTTACTGAACGTGATTCAGCTAAGCGAGTATAACGATCAATTGGTATAGCAGGTGCTAAATTATTATTAGCTTTAGTTAATGATGTAGGGGATGAATCTGTTTGTGTTATATGTTGTAAAGGAGTATGGTTGTCTTTTACATCTGAAATTATTAAATTTTATATGTAGAATTGAGAAACATTATTAACAATACTTACTTTTTAGCATTACTGAATCATTGTTGGCTGCTCCTTGAACTTCAATTATGCCACTGGCATTCATTAAATCATGATGTGGTGTGGCACTTACAATCACCGTATTGCAAATCGCCATTACCAAAAGAAATTCTTGTAGCCTTTGGGCATTTGATGACAAATACTGACCAGAATTTATCAACTCTAGCATATCATTTAATAATGTGGAATTAGTTATCAGCGGTGGTGCTGGTATTCCAGGCTTTGAGTGCAACCGTTCCAGCTCTGAAGGGGGATGACCGTAATCTATGCCATTGACAACACATCGTCGAAATAGCATTTTATTTTCAGTCAGTGTTCCTGTCTTATCTGAAAATATATGTTGTATTTGCCCCAACTCTTCAGTAATGTTCATCGCACGGCATTCTGTTTTTTTATTTGTATCCTCGTCATATAAGTCAATGTTGTTGTGAATGTGGTATACTTGCAGAATTTTGCATAATTCAATAGTAACGTACAAAGACAATGGAATCATCACCTGCAATATTATAATGTATGTCCAAAAAGTCAAGAGGCCTTCGTAGCTTGGGTGAACATCAAAAGGTAGATATGGTACAGGAAATTGCTCAAAAGAACTTAACCACATTTTGCAGCCAACTGCGCCCACAATACATAATATCAGTAAAATTATCACACACCTAATAGAAATAGACAAATTTCTATTTAAAATATAAAATTTAATAATATTTTTAAACATTATAAGTTCATGTTTAGCACTAATCCATAAACGTCGAAGCTTCTATAAGAACGAAATATTTGACTTTTAATTTCTTTGTGGGCTTTTTATTATAGTAGCTTGAGCCTTGGTAACCTTATTCTAAGAATTGGAAAAAATAAGTGCAGAAAATAACTAAAAACCAAATCGAATAGTACAAATGGAAGATTGTCAATACCATTTATGAAAAATATACATAGAGACAAGAAAAAGGTGTTATGGATGTGTACGGTTCGATGCATGCAAACATGACCGATCTGTTTTAATGAACATGTTTTTTTATTTAAAATTAATTTTGTATAAAAATATGTGAAGAAAAGAATTTGAAGATTTAAGAATGTTAACCTTAACATAATTTTTTTAAACCTATAACATTTAGTAAATTTTAGCAGTCGAATATCTACTGTGTTTGTTTTCTACTTAAAATATTTTCTAATTCAATTAGTGAGAAAGATCTCTAGTATTGGAACCTCCCGATTTAAGTTTCAAATATGAATTTATGCGTTGATATCTGATAATTAGATATGTGTTAGGAGAGAAATGAAGTACACTTATGCTTATTAGTTAGAGAAAATATTTTTATGAACTAACTTCTTGTGGTAAAATCGTTCATTAAAAGCTTTACACTATTAAATATTTTTTTAATCTCTCAACATATTGCTAAAGAATATACAAGTTATGTTCACATAACGGTTATTTGTACCACCTAATACTAACTGAGATAGATATCGAGTTATAAATGTTTGTTTGCCTGTCTCTATAGCGTTAACTTCAGTAAAAGTTGAGATATCTTGATGAAATTTGGACTAGTTTAGTATTGCAGATGAGCGCTTTCAGATTTTTTACATGCTCACAAAAGGCAGTTAATTGTAAGGATACAAAGTGAAAAACCTAAGCTCTCCTTAAGATACAAAACTACAATTTAATACAGAGAATCAAAAGAGGGGGGCATTTGTTTTTTTAATAATAGCTTTAATGTGCATATCTCGCAAAACAAGAGAGGTATTTCCATTGAACTTCCAGGGCAGTTGTCTTTTTTGCGCATACTCTGTAAAAAATGGAATCAGATGAAAACCATACCCGTCATTCGAAAATGGGCGCGGTATATCTCACACGTAGGCAGAATTCTATATCGCAGAGACTACTCGACCAAATATATTGAAAGTTACTGCATTACATTTCAATATTGTTATGTTAATATGTTAGATGAATGAAGCTATTGTTATAAATTTTTTATAATTAGAATTTCTAAGGCCAACTCACATCCAAAACAAAAATGCGATTATTTCAAAAAGGGGTACACTCGGATCAATTCTTCCCCTAGCTCTCTTTAACCTAATGTGCATCGACATAATGTAAAGATTTACGAACTTGCGTTTTACTTTGTATATATATATTTGGCATATACCGGTTAATATATGAGATATCTTAACGAAATTAAGAGAGCGTTTATCTCCAAAAACAATGTGTGCTCTGTGAAATCAAGACAATACTACCTGTTCGGAGCAGCTCCTTTCACGATGAAACTACCAATAATGAGTAGATTTAACATTAAGTTATTATTTATACTTAAGTTAACTAAATTTTATACGCACACATATATTCAACTCACTGTGGTGAGAAAACATTGTATATATTTAATATAAATTGTTAGCCTCATTTCCTTTTATCCTTTAATATGTTTATACATACATACATGTGAGAACAATTAAGCTTAGCTTTGCCTAAGCCTAGCATTATAGTTATTAGTTCCTTTTTTATCTTCGATACCTGTAGACGCATTATTTTCTAGTTCGCTTTTTATATTCGCTACCTGCAGACGCATTGCATTTCACCTGGTAAACCACCAGCCACGTAACTCTCTATTCGTTGTATTATATATATTTGTATTAATAAATAGTTTTGTAAATATATTTATATCGTCGTTGTTTTATATCGCGATTCGAAGCTATCAAAAAAGCTTGGTAGCTCAACATTTTGGTGACCCCGACGTGATCGCTGTGTGTATTTATTGGTGATATAGGTAAACTTAACATTAAATATCAAACTATTAGTTCGTGTGCCACTGTGCAAGTTAACACCGGTAAACACGTATCCGGTCAACACTCCACTCCCACCGATCTTGCCTACGGTGCGTCGGCAGGTTTGAGTGTGGAAATAGCATAACAACAACTCTCCCACCGATACTGATGACGAAGCGTCGACCAGGTAGCGCGTGACAACAACAACATCGCTACAGCGGGAAAGCCAATAGCAAGAGGTAAATTGCCGAATTGCATTTTGCAAATCACACGGCAAAACATGTGCAGCAACTGGCAGGCAAAACAAAGAGTCAGGTATTTAGGCGTAGTCGTCGCAATATTTTAGTTAGCAAATTCAGATTCARTTGTAATAACTCGACCGATACAAACGGCTGCTCTTGTGCAAACAAGAGAAATAAAGAATATTAARACCCAACTAAGTGTTTTAATAATTGGCGCCCAACGTGGGGCCATAGTGCAGTTCTTGTGTTATMCTTATAAAGGACAAATCCTGTGCGTGGCCGTGGTTCGAATCCACCCGACAGTCGCGGAAAAACCGTTAACTTAATTAACACTRCATAAATAGTGAGAGCTACGAACAATTTTCTATTTTGAAAAATTTTAACCGCAAATTAAACACTACCTAACCGTGGGAGAAAGCGTGGAGCCAATGCTTTAAGAAATAAAGCATCCTAATCATCGTAATCCTGTCTTCCT